CTAACTAATACAACTCTAACAAAAATATGAGCAACATATCTTGTGTTTCTAACAGATAATTGAAGAACAAATAATAACACAACTAATGAGAAACAACTCTTGTGCCTTAGTCTACTTTCATATATTATTCTAACAGAGTGTTGTCAACACAATAATGAGCAACAGATCTTTTGTTCAATCAAATAGTATTAACACAAATAACGAGCAACAACTCTTTATGTTTTTGATCTTTTGGTGGATTTGATTTGGCAGTGTTACTGTTCCAGTTCAATAGTATATTTCTTCAGTTTTCGTGAATTTGCAAATGAGGTGCTTGAAGCTTTATATAGGTGTTGAGAATTGGACCGTTGAGGAAGTAGACCATTGTAGTAATACACATGTCACTTTCATCATTGCAGTTGCCAACAATAAGAAATGATCGTGGGAGACAAATAGTACACAGTACATCCATTTGAGTGGAATGTGTAATTGTACTATTGTACTAACTCTTGTGGCTCACGTTTATGATGATATTTGTCTTCTGATGAATATTACTTCTTCTGAAGTAGTTTGGCTTGAGAAGATATCATTCTTTGATCTTGTATTCTAATGAACTATATGATGTTGATTAGAAATGTGTCCATAAGATCTTTCTTTCTTTGATCCTTTCTTCTGATGAAATACTTCCGATGTTGATTAGAAGTGTGTGTATTCCATGAATTATCCTAGTCTTCAGAATCTTGACTTTGTCTTCAAAATTAGAACAACAGCTTTTCTGATGACCATATCTTGATTTCTAATTTGGAGGTAGATTCTTTTCTTTGATGTACTCAAAATGTTGACTTTGTCTTCAGAATTCATACAATAACTCTTCTAACGAACAAATCTTGACTTCTGATCTTTGCGTTGAAAGCTTGTCTTTTATGCAATCTTGATTTATGATCTCAAAGCAGCAGCTTATCAGAAATTCTTTCTTCTTGTGTAATCTTGTTTTTTGATCTTCGAGCAACAACTCTAATAGAAATTATTTCTTCTTGTATACTTGTGACTTCTGAAGCAGCAACTTGTTGAGAAGTACATACATAATCCTCTTTTTGGTGAACATTCAACATTCTTCTGAACTACTGATGTTTCTTCAGAAGTGGATGTGAACAGTCTTTCTGATGTTCTTGGTGTGTTTCTGATTCTCCAGACAACAGTCCTGAATCAATTAGAATTTCGTATCTGTATAATCAAGAAATTTATTAGAAACAAAATTGTTTACATATAAAATATATGTATTGATATCATCAAAATACAGAGATTTAACACATATCCAAATCTTGTTCTAACAGATCCCATGAGAAAGAGCAGCAGGCTAAATGCCTAGCTGGTAAGAAAAGGCTACAACTGGCATGCCCCATTCCGTCAGTTGATAGTGAGGACATTGTCCTTACTCTAAGTTTTAGGGAGTGGTGGCTACTATCATGACCCTACCCATCAACCCACCAAATCATACCATATCATCTGCTATTTTGATTAAGTTTCTTTAAAAGTCTTTGCTAGGTTTAGTTATTTTGATGTTTTTGGCTGCTTGCAGCCGTTTTCTTTTTTGATTAATGGAACTTATTTATGTTTTTGGTTTATTAGTTTGTTATTTTAATTCATTTAATTCCTAAAAACAAAAAAATAATAAGAACAAAGGAACAAACTGACTGTAGCACCAACAAGACAGACAACTTTTGAAAACTTAGAAAAAATCTATTTGAACTTTGGAAATATTGGAAAAGATGTCTTGATGTTGATCAATTGCACATTCTTGTGTTTCTGATAACCCATGTCATGCCTCTAGTACTCAAAAAAAGTAGGCAGACTCTTGATAAGTTTTAATTGTTTTAAAGTATGGAATAGGAACTCAATGTAGGGTTTAGTTATGGAGGATAACACTTATGTTTAGGATATGAGTACGCTGGACACATTTCATATGCTAATAAACACACCAAAGTGTGTAATTGAAGTAAGCCAAAAGAGCACTTCATAATAAGTTCTTGTGTCGGAAACTGGAGGAACAAGCTCATGTGTCGAAAACTGGAGAGCAAATATTTTAATAAGTTAATGTGCCCAAAATTGGAGGAACAATAGTTGTCTTCACCATTAGTAACAGGTTAAACTCATTACAAGTGAGATCCTGTCAGGTGAAAAGATGGGGCACCTACAAATTTTCTTTTTAAATAAAGGCATATGTATTCCTAAGTACAAATGTCTAAAAATAGATAGTCAAAACCCCCTGCTGAAACTGAAATTGAGTTTTTGGACCATAGGATAAAAGCAAACAAAGTTGAAATTAGGCTGGCTAACTTGACTAAAGAGTTCTGGAGGGAAAGAGTGCACCAGTGATATAAAGAGCATACACGCAATTGAGTTATGCCAATTTTTGAAACAATTCCCTTGAGATGATTTACTTGGAAGAAGTTTCTCTATCATTTCATATTGCATCACTTGAGGACAAGTAACAATTCAAGTTTGGGGGTGAGTTAACCCATATTTTGTGACTTAATGCATACTTTAATCTTTTTCTTATTAGAAGTTAAATTTCTTTTTTTTATTGCATTCTAGTTATTTTTACAAGTAATTAGCTTGGAGCACAATAGATTCTCCTTTTTGTTGTTTTGATGTGTTTTGTGTTTAATTTAAGGTTAACTCTGTTGAGCCGATGAAAGACTATTGTGATCAGTACCTGGAAGCGTAAGCTAAACCAAGAGTTGGACTTAGTTAAGAGATAAAAAATGGTGAAGTCAACTGGTTTCTAAGGCAAATGTGGAAGGATGGAAGCATTGGAGGGGATATTTGTTGTGCTTAGAGTAAAATTCATTCCAATCAAAGTGGATAAGGCTTGGAGATACTAGAAGACAAATATAGTATAATAGTACTCTATACAGCCTGTGTAGCGCCGCCTGCACCTTACTATGGTAGTCTACCACAAGACATCTTGTCTCCCACCAACGTTCCCTCATACTTGATTCCTTGTTAGATAAGGAGAAGAATTTGGGTGATGGCGATGATTATCACATGGGCTTGATGTGATTTCCTCATATTGGGCCCATGATCCAAGGCATCACAAGAAACCTTAGTGAAGGACTATTTATAGGTCCTTGATGAGAATGAGAATGAGTTCATAAATTTCAAGAGAAATATAGAAGATAATAGTGTGAGGATAGTGGAGAGTATAGGGAGTTTTCTTCTTTTTGCACAATCATGTATCAGCTAATGAGTTTTGGCATGACTGAAGTCATCTCTTGATGATTATCTATCTCAATAAGTCCTCAAGTTTCTCTTAGGTTTATAACTCTTTTTCATTGTTTGTTTAAGGATGTTTCTTATGAGAAACACGCTTGTAGTTTGTACTCAGTTCATTATGAGTTAAACCTTTTGTAGTTGATCAATGTGAAGTTAATATTAAGTTATTTTTATGATTAAATGATGTGCGGTTTAGTTTCTTGTTTTATTATGTGATAACTTGTTTATAAATATGTTTCTTTGGATAATCAACTGAGAAAAAGATAAAATTTTGTTGTTGTGAGAGATCCAACAACAAGTGGACTTTATAATAAAAGTAGTTGAAACGAGTAGGATAGAGATATTCACTTACCTAATTCACTTAGAGATAAGGAACTACAACTATTAAGGAATTTAGAACACCCACAGACGTATGTTAGGATTATAAGTGTGACTTAGAAATTTGTTCCATTGCCCTTATGCATGCTTTGGTGTTGAAGAAATACACCTCAAGATCATAATGATCTTGACTGGCACGAAACAACACATCATGAACACATATTTACTTCTATAATATTAATGGATCATAGCTCAACTCATTCACCCTAGATATATTTCCACTCTCTCCTTGCACTATTTTAGATATGTTCTAAAGAGATAACTGAACTTGTGACATTCAACTATTATTTTTCTCTCTGATCATGCGTAATCTCAAAATTTTGTTTCTTACAAAATCAATTTAAGTAACAATTTCACTCCCTGTGGGTATGATACTCTTATTTTTATCACCTGCTCCAATTTAAACATACATGTATACTTGCATGTGACACCTAAACAAGCAACAAGTGACCTAGATTGTATTTTCCCATCTTGCGTAATAAGATAATTGTCTAAGAGTCTAATATTAAGTTGGGCAAGGGCGACACGGTCTATGCATTGTCTTTAATATATACATGAGAGCGAAATGTAATTGTACACAATAAGCATTATCATGAAATGATTTTGTTAGATCACGTGACATTTTCGTGACTTGAGTAGTAGTGATGTGATGTTAAATATCGCTTACTGTTTATTATATTATATGTATAACTTTATATAATTGACAATGTCACGAGAACTTATAAAATTACACACATAAAAACAAATTAAGGGGATAAAATGAATAAGTGAAACTTATTCTATTATGCACAATGCACTATCATTAATTAGAAAAACACAGTACATCATAAGTTAATGCATTATTTTATTTATGATGCATTAAACATTTTCAGTGTCAAAACTCAATAACCAAATTATACATTGTATTAACTAATATTTTATATTCAATTAATCAATTTTATTTTATCACTTAAGATTACTTCTTTTTTTTATGACATAACACTTCTTAATCAAACTATAAACTATATTAACCAACATTTTTCACTCAATTAATCAACTTTTTATTACCATTTAAGATTGATTTTTGATATCAAAATATTTATTAACTAAATTATGAACTTTATTAATCAAACTTTTATATATTATATTAACCAAAGTTGTTTTTAGAGAAAGAAAAATGTAACAAAGTCAAATTTAAAATGTTATAGTTAAACTAAGATAGGATACAAGTGTAAGAAAATGTGTCAAAATAGTCGTCTTTTTTTTTTTATTATGGCTTAACATTGATGGGATCATGTAATAATTTAACTATTTTCAGGTGTTGGATTTATGCATCTGTTTTTCTACAAAAAGTTGGACAAAATCATTCGATACAAGCTAGCATAAACATGAGTCCAAAATTCATATCTCGAATCCTCCTTCTCCATCTACTATTAATCACGGTATCTTAACCTTTTTTTTCTCTCTCTATTTCTTTCTCTTCTATTTGCTTATTCTAATTCTGAATCTAATATAATGTTCTTCTTTCATATAACTTTATTTTTTCTTCAGAGTTTTTATGAAACCGGAGCAAGAGAATTGATTGAAACAGAAAACAAACTCTTGGATATATCACAAAAAGAACAGAAACATCATGAACATAATCATAACCACATGGACCCTTCTGTTATGGTGTTCTTCACCTTACAAGATTTAAAAGTTGGAAAAAGAATGCAAATTTATTTTCCCAAAAGAAACCCTTCAACTTCCCCAAAGTTTTGGCCACGAGACAAAGCTGATTCACTTCCCTTTTCGTTAAACAAACTCCAAACCCTTCTTGAAATCTTCTCTTTCTCTCAAGATTCTCCACAAGCCAAAGCAATGGTAGACACACTCAAAGAATGCGAGAGTAAACCGATCCAAGGTGAAGTCAAATTCTGCGCGACTTCTTTGGAATCTATGCTAGATTTCACTCAAAGAAGTCTTGGTTCTTCCAATGATCTTGGAGTTTATGCAACTTCGCATTTAACCAAATCAAGTGTGACTTTCCAAAACTACACAACATTAGAAAATATTGTTCGGATTTCAGCTCCGAAGATGGTGGCATGTCACACTATGCCTTACCCTTATGCTGTTTTCTACTGTCATAGTCAAGAGAGTGAGAATAGGTTATATAGAGTTTCGCTTGTAGGTGATAATGGTGATATGGTTGAAGCTATGGTTGTTTGTCATATGGATACTTCTCATTGGGGGCATGGTCATGTTTCGTTTCAGGTTCTAGGTGTTGCGCCAGGAAGTTCTAATGTGTGTCACTTTTTTCCTGCTGATAATTTCATCTGGGTTCCAAAACTGCAAGATCGCAGTGCTTCGGCTATGTGATTTTAGTATAAGTGTTTGATGTTTGAGTTTCTTTGTGATTGTTGAAATAAGCATTATCTTCTGAGATGAGTAATGTAATATTTGTTATGAGTTTATGTAATGATGTAAGAGTGTTTGCTTTTTATTTTCAGTATGTGTTGTGAAATGAAAACTGATTATGCAGTAAAGTGATCAATTTTCTCTTATGCGACTTACGCAACAACTATCATATACAACAATTACATGCATTTTGAAGCCACAAATCCCTCCTTCAGAATTTACACTCCATAAAACTATTTCTACCCGTGCATTAAAGGCCTTTTGAAGCCATAAATTCCTACCTCAGACTTTACACTTCACCTTATATGGGTTTTCCATTGCACTACTTCAACCATGAAAAGTCTGATCTAAAACAACAAACTCTTGTGTCTTTTTTTTCAACGAGGATAGTGTTGCTTGAAAAAATATACAAGAACTAATTAACAAATAGAGATCACACTCGAAGAATCTAGGTTTCCGTTTGATAAAACTAATTAGTAATTGATAGTTGGTAATTGATAGTTTATAGTCGGTCACTGATAGCTGATAAGTTAAAATGAGTGTTTAATAAATTAGTTATTTTATATGTCGATAGATATAAAATAATTTAAATATTATTTTAATTAATAAAAATAATAATATATTATTTTTAAATAATAAAAATATAAATAGAAGAAAAAATTACAAAAAACTATAAATTTAAAATTTATTTTAAATAACTTTTAAAAAAAACTAAAAATTAATAAAAAAACTAAAAATTAAAAGCTAAAATCAAGTTATTAAACAATTTTTTTATTAATATAAATTGAATAGCTAAAAGTTCTTTTTTTTATCTTATCACACACTCTTTAATCGGTCAAAACTTAGAGATTTAAGTGACATTGATTGTTTCTTCACTATAATCTTATGTGTATATTTTCTATTACTATTTATTTTATTTGATAATCATTTTGAATATATAAATCTCTCTGGAATATAAGGTAGATGAACCTTAGTCTTTTATTATCCATTATTTAGATTTCTATTTTATTTAAATCTTACAAGGTTAAGAATATCATAAGCAAAGTGGTGTCTTGTACTTTATGAAATAGTTACGGTATATATCTTCTTTTGTGATATTCAAATTTTTTTATAAAAGATTAAATTTGTTATTGCACAAAGAAGAGAGGCAAAAAGAATATATTAAATGACGGTTACAAAAATAAGAAATAATGATTTACAATAAATTATATTGAGCTACCTCACTAGATTATTTATACACAAAATGAACTCATAAATATCCTCTTACAAAGATATAAAATGATATAATAATATTCTCTAAAAAGATATTCCTAAAATATAGATTAATATCCAAAATATATTCCTAAAATATAGATTAAATTTAACATCATCCCTTAGTTTATATTTTATCTAAAACTGACAACACTAATTCCATCCCTCAACCGAAGAAATTGACCAGTCTTGATAGCCTTTGTTAGAACATCTGTCAACTGCTTCTGGATGCTACAATGCACAACTTCTAATATTCCATTCTGAACCTGATTTCTCAGAAAGTGATACTTGGTCTCAATATGTTTGCTTCTCCCATGCAGCACTGGGTTCTTGGCAAGATTGATTGCAGACTTGTTATTAATCATCAGCTTCAGAGGTTTATTTACCTCAATCTTCATATCTTTCAGCAAGTTCAGAATCCACATAGTTTGGCATGCAGTCAGAGCGCCTGCAATATACTCAACTTCACAGGTTGACAGTGCAACAACAGGTTGCTTCTTGGAACACGAAGAAATAGGACCTCCTAGAAATTTGAATAAGTACCCAGAAGTACTTCTTCTATCCATTTTATCTCTGCACCAATCAAAATCTGAATAACTCATAAATTCTGATTCGATCTTTCTTCCAGAAGGAAATATCACTCCATACTTCAGAGTTCTCTTTACATACCTCAGAATCCTGACAGCAGCTGGTAATGAGACAACTTTGATTTACTCATAAATCTGCTAACCATTCCAACTTCATAGAAAATATCAGGTTTGGTATTACACGAATACCTTAGAGAATCAACCATATGTTTGAAGGTTGTAGCATCCACATCCTCTCCATCAGAATCAGAGTCCAACTTCTGATTCGTATCAGTAGGTGTGACAGAAACTTTGAAATTTTCTAGCTTAAATCTCTTCAGAAGCTCAAGTTCATACTTCATCTGATGCTAAATGATTCCTTTCTCTGAATATATAAACTCCATCCCTAGAAAGAAACTCATTTTCCCAAGATCTGTCATCTCAAACGCATTCATCAGAACTTTCTTGAACTCAGATAACTCTTGTTCGGAACTTCCTGTTAGCAATATGTCATCAACATACAAACATGCCAGAATCATATTACCTTCTGAAGTGTGTTGAACATAAACATCATACTCCATCTCACACTTCTGAAACCCTTGTTCCTTGAAAAATGAATCAATCTTCAAATTTCAAGTTATGGGCGCTTGCTTCAATCCATACAAGACTTTGTGTAATTTGAACACCATCCCTTCATGATTATTTTTCTCAAATCTAGGAGGTTGTGATACGTATACCTCTTCTTATAATGTACCATTCAAAAATGCAGATTTTACATCTAAGTGCATCAGAGGCCAATTCCTGTTAGCAGCTATTGCAATCACTAGTCTGATTGTTTCATATCTCGCTACAGGTGCAAAACACTTCAAAGTAATCTAGCCCAGACTTCTGTAGAAAGCCTCTTGCTACTAATCTTGCTTTGTGTTTTCCAATTGATCCATCTGGCTTTAGCTTTTGCTTGAAAACAAATTTGATGCTGATGGCTTTTTTTCCTTTTGGAAGTTCTGTCAGCTTCCAAGTCTTGTTTCTCTCTATAGCATCAAGTTCTTCTTTCATGGCCTGTAACCAAACTTGCTGCTTAAGATATTCTTCCGTACTCACGGGTTCAGAATCTACTAACATTGTACACTTAATAAGTTCTCCTTCAGAGTCTACTCCAGTATCTTATAACATGTCAAACTCTACAAATCTTCTTGGGAAGCTTCTGACTATTTGTTGCCTCTGAACCGGACCTTCAGAACTTTGGACACCAGAACTTTCCCCTTCAGAAGCACTTGCTTCAGAAATTGGACTTTCTCCAGAACTTTGACTGTCTTTAGAGTCTGGATTACCATCGGAGTTAGAGTCATAATCATCTTCTCCTTTTGTATCTTCTTCAGAGTCAGAGTCTTTACCAGCTTCAGAAACATGTGTTTCTGACTTTTCTTCAGGAGTTCTCTCATCAGAGTCAGGACGAGACCTTTCCCAATTCCAAACTTATGATTCCTTTACAATGACGTCTTTGTTGAACTCAACTTTGTTAGTTTTTGGAAAATAAAGTTTGTACGAACCTGTACTGTGGTACCCCACCAGAAACATCACTTTACTTCTACCATCCAGCTTCTGTCTTCTGTCTTCTAGGACATGTTTGTAACATACAAAACAAAACACCTTCAGATGACTAACACTTTGCTTATCTCCAATCCACTTTTGAATAGGAACTATTTCCTTCAATTTCTTCGTTGGGCATCTGTTGAGCATATAACATGCAGTTGCAACAGCTTCTCCCTACAGAGTATGAGGAAGCTTCTTCTCTTTCAGCATGCTTCTAAGCATATCAAGAAAAGTACGGTTTATTCTTTCAGAAAGACCATTATGTTAAGGAGTATAGGGAGCAGTAACCTCATGCTCAATTCCATTCTCCTTACATAATCTTCTGAATTTTGTGGAGTTATACTCACCACCACCATCAGTTATAAGAATCTTCAGAGTCTGGCCACTCTAATTTTCAACCTTCAGTCTGAACTTCTTGAATTCAGCAAACACCTCGTGTTTAAACTTTATGACATATACACAGGTCATTATGGTGAACTCATCAACAAATGACACAAAATATTTACTCCCTCCAGTTGATGCTACTGGAAAAGGACCGCACACATCAGAATGCACTACTCCCAAGGCATGTTTTGCTCTTGGAGCTACTTCTGATGTAAATGGTAATCCTGGTTGCTTCCCTTCCATGCATACCTTGTGTAACACGGTGGGAGAACTGACTTGGGTGTTTTGCGTTTGATCGCAATTGTTGCGGATAACAAGAGTCGCCACTGACTTTTCTTTTATCTAATAAAGGAAAGGTTCAAAAGAACAAGAAAGACCTTTAGAGATATTTCTTGAGTTCGGGGGGTAGGTTATGAAAAGGAAAGGTATTAGCACCCTTTTTTATCCGTAGTTATCTACGGGATCTTAGTTTCTTGCTAGATCACTTACTTTTGTTTGAAAATATGCTTGTGGTGTGGGTTTTGAAAGTATTTTGAAAACGTCTTTGTAATGATTCTCGTTTCTATAAGAACGCGTACAAGGTGTTGGGTTTGAAAATAGTTCAAAGAGGTGTTTGTGGAATGTGTTTTTGAAAGTGATTTTGAAAAGTGTGTTTGTAATGATTATCGTCTCTATAAGAATACGTACAACGAGCTTTGTCTTTTGAAAATGTTTCAATTTGAAAGTGTTGATGTGTAAAATGTTTTTGTTGTGGGAAAGCGAGCAACTATGAGCATTCTACCTACTCAAAAGGTCTAATGTTCTTTTCCTCCTTCTTTAGATGTTTCTATCTTACCATTGTTTTGGTAAGAAGCCTCGTCATTGGATGTGAAAGGACGGGCGTGGGTCGTTTGTATAGTCATAGAAGGCAACCTATGGAATGTTTTAGCAATGTCTTTTAGGGACTAGATCATTTACCGAAGGCAACCTATGGGACGCTTTAGCAATGTCGTTTAGGGACTAGATCATTTACCGAAGGCAACATTGAGGGTCATCAAGGGACTGCGATCTTTTATCGAGGGGCTTTTCCAAAACGCCCATATTCGAGGGACGTGACTATTTTTAAAGGCAACAAGTGAGATTAACCTAGAGGTGCATGGGTGAATTATGTGTTTAATTGCATGCATT